ATCACCTCCCTGGTCCTGCTGGCCACACTATTCCTGATACAAGCCAGGATGCCATTGGCCCTCTTGGCCACCTGGGCACACTGTTGGCTCGTGTTCAGGCAGCTGTCAACCAACACCCCCAGCTCTTTTTCTGCCAGGCAGCTCTCCAGCCACTCCTCCCCAAGCCTGTAGTGCTGCATGGGGTTGTTGTGACCCAAGTGTAGGACCCGGCACCGAGCCTTGTTGAATCTCATGCAGTTGGCCCCAGCCCAACGATCCAGCCCGTTCAGGTCCCTCTGCAGCACCTTCCTACCCTCCAGCAGATCGACACTTCCGCCCAACTTGGTGTCATCTGCAAACTCACTGAGGGTGCACTCAATCCCCTCATCGAGATCATCAATGAAGATATTGAACAGGACTGGCCCCAATACTGAGCCCTGGGGAACAGTTAGTATGCAGTTATTCCCTTCTCTTCTTTCACTTTGCTCTACTTAGATGTAACTTTTTTCTGAAAACTGTTTTTTTTAAGCAATGCTGAAAAATGCTACAAAGACTCGTCATTTTATGTAAATCTTGAAAGTTATTTTATGGTACACAATTACTGCCAATTCTGCAACTTAAACATGAATTGTTTTTTAATTTATTAGAATGTAAATGTACTTACCTCCAAATCTTTCCAGCATATTCTGTACTTCACCCCTACAAAATAGTGTATAAAATTTTTATTTGCCCATTTTCTGACTTTAGGATAAGACCTGTTTTATAGGCTTAAAACTAATTTTATTCACGCGCGTATTACTTGTAAGCACAGTGACAGAGCTGCTACTGTTCTACAAGATAAAAAATGACACTCCTTTTCTCCTCCTGTGAGAGGTCTCTTTTTTAGACTAATTTTCTTTTTTTAAAAAAAATTACTAGAATCTATTAACTTACTCCCCAGTAAAAAGGCAGTATTAGGCATTTAAAGGGTCTTGAGTGAGGGAGGACGGTAAATAAAATTGATCATTCCCTATACAAAAAGAAAACACAAAAGGTATTTGGAACATCAAATGGAAACAAGTCCATCACAGTTAGCATGACTGGCAGAGTAAGAAAAATCCAAGAGCGATAATATCAGGGTTGTTTTTACAACACCTGTAAGATGATAACACCAGTGTGTAAGGCAGTGGTACAATAGCTGACAAGTCCAAAAAGGGACATGGTGGGTAAAGAAAACGTTTATCTTGGTTTTATATCAACTTCTCCACAGGACCTCATTTTCTTTTTGGAAAGGCAAAAATAAAAAAAAAAAAGGAAAAAAAGTATCTTCAACTCAACAGCTATAATCTTGCTAAGAACTATTTCAACATACACTTTTTTATTACATTTACGCTGCCCATAAATATTGAATTAAGATTTATCTGTAAAAGAATTTATTTTTCATGCAATAGTTGGATCATTTAAAGTACTGTGAATATCTTCAAGCAACTAAGATCAGAGGGAAAAAAATTAATGAAAATATCAACAATTTAGGATAAAACTTAAGTCATCTTTTGAAAGAAACAAGAATTTTAAGAACTCACACAAATATATCAATTTTTCATGCATGTTTGAAAGTATCTATAAAGAAACTGCAGAATTACTCATTTTAAAATATTACATTTTCTTTTTTTACCTACAACTGCAGTATTATCTGTCACCTGATTTTTGAATCAAATACTAAAAAAAAAAAAACACCTGAGCAAAACAAGCATAGTGAATAACTGAAATTGATATCTATTTAAGACTTGCCTATTTTGGGGGAAAAAAAAAAAATTCTAACCTTACCCCACATCATCTGGAACCACATGAGTAGTCACCAAAGGTCTTTTCTTTCCATGCTTGTCCATTACTGGTGTTTCGCCTTAATACAAATTTTAAAAAGATTTACAAAAATATTTTATATTTTGTGAGGGTCATTTGAGTTATTAGAAGTGTAATTACTTTTCTGTAATGCCACTTCTCTGAACATCTCATGGGTCTCAGTTCCCATCCATAACACCTGCAGCTCCTAGAACTTTGAATCTAGAGTTGACAGATGGCAGTGAATTATTCTGCAAGGCTACATTTGAGCTGGCACTGCCTTGAGTTCCTCCAGATCTCAACCAGCTCTAGTTTCTCTGTCCACTACTACACAACTACTTCCAACTTACAGAATAACAATCATCAGAAAGGTAAAAATAATCTAAAAATTGAAAAAGACCAATCTGTAAGAATTTCATTGTACTGTAAAATAAGTACTGAAATTGTATACTCTGACCTTTAAAAAAGCAAAATCACAAATAGAGATTTATAGTCATTCCAAAAAATAAAAATCCTTGGCTGTCAGGTTTCTATTAACACGGTGGCGGTGGGGGGGATTTAGTCTGAACAAATGAAGAAGAGGAGAAATTAAGAGAAACAAACCCAGAGACAACTGCTGAAAGACAAAAATCCAGAAATGGAGTTACATCAAACTTTACAAAAAACTATCATGTGATGAATGAGAACTGCATTTTTAAGCAAAGACCGCTTTTTTATGACACTCCCTCAAAATTAAACAAGAATCCCTTGGTTGACTTTTGCTTTTTCCTCAGCTTTCTCTGCTTCTTCCTCTTTCATTTCTTTGGTTCAGATTCATCCTGAAGTACTCTTAACCCTGCCAGCATTAAGACTCCAACTACCCTATGCGACTCAGCACTCCATACAAGTGAGCAGGGCTCTTCTGTTCTATCCTGGTTTCACAATGTTACATGCAGCCAGGTGATGGAAGGATATGGCATTGAAATAAGGTAACAAAATCCTGTGAGAACATCCTACTCTATTAAAGACTCCACCTATAATTTTAAGACATAATAGTGCACTGTACAGAGCTATTCTATTGTGTTCTCTTCTCTTACCAATCAAAATTATACCAATCAAAATTATACAGTAGGAGGCTAGCTGTCACAAACATGTAGCATACTTGCTCAGACACTTGCTAACACGGAAGTGTCTTCATTTCTATTCATAGCCAGAAATACTAAACTTCACATTTGGGGAAAAAAAAAAAAAAAATCATATAAGCACCTTCTCTAATATCTTCCTCTGATCCACTCAGCTCTTTTCTTTCCTCCTGAAAGTCATAGGCAGGAATGGCTTTATCTTCCTGTGG